GCTTCTGCCAGATGCCCAGAGCCAATTAAAGGTAACTCTTTCCCAGTCCACACAATAGTATGAATTTAAATCTAACCTCACCTGAGAGCAATTGTAGATCATTAAGAGAAGTATTTTTCTTTCAGAGCCAACCTTAAAGAGCAATATCATCATTTTCCTTCTGTGATTTTAGGGCTTTTTAATTTTTTAATTTTTTTTGTTCTTGTTTTATTGTTATTTTCATGATCCTACCTACCAATCATGATAAAGAGACCTAGCTCCAACTCGTGTTCTTGCTGGATCCTGAACCTTTGAATCCTGGTCCCTTTAAGGAAATGAAAACCCTGAGGTCCTGGATAAGGAGAACTAAACATCCTCAGGGTAGCCACTACTTTGGACAGTGAGAATAATAAATATAATGATTTGAAAACTATAGAATATTAACTCTAATCATTCATGAATTACTAGTATAAATTACCTAAATGAAGAATATACATGTGTGTGGGCATGAACATACTTAGGAAATACTTTAAATAAGAATTCATTTTCTTATTGTAGTACCAAGAGTTGCCTGGACAGTACTTTTGTATTCAACCAGTGACACGTAAAAGTTTCAGAGACTTTAAAAACATTGTTTTCAAGGTCAAATCAAATTGGAGGCAATCATTCTTCATTCCATTTATAAGACCTAGGTAACTTTTCTCAGTAAAGCTAGTACTAAAAATGCCTTCTTTAAAAAGACAGGTAGTTAGAATACCATACAGAACTCATTTTTGACTGTCAAAACTGAAATTATTTGCAAGCCATAGATACATACAACCTTGTAGGCTGACACCTCACTTAACTGTTAAATCACCTAAAGGATTACCTTGTCTTTCTTTTATGTGAATTCAAGAGCACAAAGCTATTTAAAATTCTTTCTCTAGAGAAATTCTATTAAGAGTATTATATTTCTTTGGCAGTCCTAAAAGGAACTAGTCCAATATTTTAACATCATATTTTTAAAGCTATTTTGGGTTATTCTGTAAAGGGTTAGACTGAAATCTGAGAATTGAATTTGTCCTATGTATATGGCATGATTTTTTTTACCAATTGTACAGCTCAAAGAGTTCTTTGACACCTGTCTAGCATCTAAGTAAACCACTGTGTATTAGCATAGCAACATTTAAATGTGCATGTGAAATCACAGGTAAATTGTACTTTCACCCATTACTTTCTGCATATTTGAAAATGCAAAAATAGATTATTTTTTTCAATATCTTTATTTTAGTTATTTTCTGTGGGGCTGAGGATTGAACTCAATGCCTCACATATGCTAGGCAAGTGTTCTGTCACCAAGCCACAACCACAGCCCCTAAATTATGTTTTGCATAAAAGTTTTAGAGTGGTCAGAAAGGAGTAAGAGTTAAAAAAAAAAAAACACCTTCACTAAACCATTATAAATAGTCTATAGTCACAGTGCAACTCTGGGGAAAGGCAATTATTAAAGCATAGTTCAGGTAATTTTAAGAGACTGATGCTAATAGATAATAAGCTTGAACACATTCTGAATTATAAAATGGAAAAAAATAACGGACAAAAGAAGACAATAGCAATAATAACTACCACTTATTAGGTTCTGACTAGCACCAGGACTATATTCAATGCTTTACTTAAAAATAGTCTCAGCTATAAGACCCTGTTATCAAGTGTTTAATATATACTATGTTTACCCATGGAATAACTTTTTTGAATTAGGTACTCTTATTTTCCTAGTTTTATATTTGGGAAACTGAGTTTCATTCAGATGCCCCAAATCACATAAACTTGAAAGAATTAATTCATATGTAAAAGGCATTATTGACTAACTCTAGAGGTTATCCTATACAAATTCCCCATTATAGTATCTTCATCCAACTGCTGTCATCTCGACCCATTTCGGGTGTTTTATTGGTCCCATTTTAAAGATGGGCAAATACAGATAACTTATATGAGATTAGTTGTGTGTAACAGTATCAAGATTAAAACTGGTTTAGCTTCCTTGTAGAATCCATATACTTTCCAATATACTATTCTGCCTTCATGACATATCTGTCACTATTCAGTAATTCATTCATTTGCTTATTTTGCTTATTTTGCTTATTTTTGCTTATTTTGCTTATTTTTTAAACAAATGTTTGTTGAGCACATTGTGCATGTATTCTTGTGGGCTGTGGACCTACTTAGGAAATGAAAAATGCAGAGTCCAGAAGGTTTCATCCTAGTAGGGGGAGATAGAAATTAAACAAACTGATAAATGTATGTCAATGTTAATAGGTGCAATAAAGAAAAATAAAGCATTGCAAATGACTAAAAGATAATGTCATAAAGAGTACTTGAATTTTTTAAAGAAGATACTAAATGCAAGGAAATGTGCAACTTTCACTAATATTTTTATAATGCCCCATTTTTTTTCATTGTGAGAATTGACTCCTTGGTTTATATGACATTGAAACTCAATCTGAGTTTTATCTTTTTCTTTTGGTTCTGGAAGAATATGTTTTATTAAAAACCTAACATTTCATTGAAGAAATTATTTTGTGCTGAATTTTTTGTTGTTGTTGTTAGTTCTATACCCCCCACATAATCAAAGCATTTAATGAGTCTCTCTGCCCAGGTCACAAAGCACCTTTGCATTTATGGTTTTTCTTGATATTCTCAATGACCTGACCAGACAAGTTTTATTGTAATCATCATCATTATTATGCATATTGTCATTACTCTTTATCTTATTTTACTTGGGATGTAGAATTCATTCCTGAGCCCCAGGCAAACATGAACAGTTATTCAGGGCTTCTAGCACTCTAGTTCATAACTACTGAACAATTGAAGTTGTTATGAGAGCTAAGATCCATTTTGGTCCATTGTCTAGCAGTTTGGTTAATAACAAAAAGTTATGATTAAATGAATTTGAAAGAGTCAATAAGGAAGAGGCAAGCTAGGTTCAGGACCTGGGTTTCCTGACACCCACCCAATCCAGTGCTCTACACTAGACATCAGATAGAAGACTGCTTCTTTTAGAGGTTCCCAAGTTTCTTTTATCTAGTGAAATAATCCCAAGCATTGTGAACATCTGAAAATGCATACATTTACACACAGGCATGCAGTTGTTCTCACTTATCTGTGGAGGAAGTACTTCAAAGCCCCCACGGGATACCTGAAACCTTGAATAATACTGAACTCTCTATGCTTTTTCCCCTGTACATACATGCCTGTGATTCTTAAATAGTTATTTGAAGAGACAAAATTGGAAATTGTTATCTTTCTAAGTATTTGTACAAAATACCCTGCTTAATAAGGTGAACAAATATTTGTACTTATTGGGAGAGTATGCTTTTCCAACAATTAAGTAAAAGCATCTTCTCTTTGTCATTAACACTTGATGTGGCATGTTAGTTCTTAGAGGCAATCTCATGATAAAAGCAGTACTGATGTCAAGAACTAATTGACTGATTTTAATTGAAGAACACTTATATTACAAAGTATATGATGGTAAAGATGTGTTCAACTTGTTTTTGCTTTTCTCTAAAAAGCTGAAAACCTTCTTCCCAGTAGTAATTAAAAATAAACAGCAGTCATTAACTTACTGTGGGGTTCTAATGACCACAAGATTGCTTCCTTGCATGAATGGCTTACTGATCTAAAGCAAAGTAATTCAACTTTGAAATTATCTTGAAAATTAAAAACCATCCTAGATAATGAATAGTTTCAATTTCTATAGCACCAATTTATGTGTAATTTTCCTTTTTTATGTGTTCTTCTGTACATATACAATATGCTAACAAAAAATGGTCTTGCAGGGATTCCACATCAAAGAATAGTGTGCCAAATTCAGTCTCTGGTCTCTTTAACCTTGGGGGTGATATTCATTCATTCATTCATTCATTCATTCAGCAAACATTTGTTGAAAAGCTCTTGTAGCTAGACATTTTCTATGGGGCTTTAGAGGTAGGATGATGGGAAGCAGTCTCTGCTCCCCAAAGAATTTATTACTGTGGGATTCAGATAGTACTTGATTCTAATTCTGTCTCCTTTATTTAATTGGTTATATCACAATTTACTTAACCAATTATTTTCTGTTGGATACTTAGGTAAATTTATTTTTCACAGGAGGCTATAAAAAGCCTATGTTGGATGCCCCAATCAATAAATAAATATTCACACTTCTGGTTATGTCTTTGAATGGATTTCTATAAGTAGAATAAGCAGGTCAAAATGCATGGACATTTTAGTCTTTTGAAACTTTAACAAATTAGTTCCAAGATACAAATACAGACAGAAAGGTTATATTATTTTTACATTGCGACCAAAAGTGTTTAAGAAATCCTGTCCTTGCTCCTTTTCTTGGTCAGCAATATAGAATATTCTGCTAAATGTGTAGTATCTATCATTGATGTTTAAATAATATTCAAAATTATTAAAATGTTTATAGTTTCTAAGAATAATTTGGTGCTGATCAAAATTTTTCAACTGATATTGATAATTTATATCTGACAAGAAATCATCTGGATTATTTTCTTTCTTATAAATGCTGAATTTTAAAAGTCATGTTATAAAAAGTTTCATCTGTTGATTTGAAAACTTTTTTTGAAAAAAAATAATATTATAGTTATCCACTAGTAAATTGGAAATGTTGAATATTAACGTTAATATTAAAATAATTAAAAGCAAATGTCTTGAAACAAATAGATCTCTACTTTGTTAGGTCTTACTGAATTTCTCAAGTACATATTTAGGATATTATTAGTTAAATTAAGTAGCAAAACATTATATTTGGTGCTAGTTCATTTTACTTAAGCCCAAAATTCCTACCTATGGAATATGAAAAGAAATAAAAATATAAATAAGTTTATAGGGAATACATCTTATTCCCTCTATGAAGTCATGGACTGACTTCATGGTTAACTGGTTGAATCTTTGTGACATTTCTGCTGTTCCTGAGGTTGTATGCTCAACTATTGGATTTCTGCTCTTATCTCAATGGTTACACTTTTCATTTCTAGAACCATGGGACACAAAAACCGATATGTCAAAGTCCCCCGTGGTCATATCTGGGTTGAAGGTGATCATCATGGACACAGTTTTGACAGTAATTCTTTTGGGCCGGTAAGTCATCTTTTCATGTTGTTGCCAATATAATTGGATCTCAAAAGTGGGAAAATAGGTCATTTGGATAATTCAGTAAAGACTAATTAGGAATTTTATAGTGTAACATTTTATGTTCAAATATTTCCTTTTAAATATAGAAAGAAAGATATGTAAACTATCTCACACATGTGTATGTCTGTATGTGTAAAATAATGGAAAATAATTTAGACTACTTCAAAAAACTACTAAAAGGTGTTTTCAGCTACTTGGTCTTAGTTAGAATATCTTTTTTTTCACCCACAGGTGAAAACAGCATATGCTGTTAGTTGGTGGTTAGCACATTTAATGTATAAAAGACATAGGCATAAATTTTTTAAATTGTTCCTCATATGGAAAGCATTATGGACATTCCTTGAAAAACTTGGAATGGAACCACCATTTGACCCAGGTTTCCCACTCCTGGGTTTGTACCCAAAGGACTTAAAAACAGCATATTATAGTAATGCAGCCACATCAATGTTTATAACTGCACAATTTACAGTAGCTACATTGTGGAACCAACTTAGATGCCCTTCAGCAGATAAATGGTTAAAGAAACTGTGGTATATATACACAATGGAATATTACTCAACATTAAAAGAGAGTAAAATCATGGCATTTGCAGGTAAATGGATGGCATTGGCGAATATAATGGTAAGTGACCTTAGGCAATCCCAAAAAACCAAATGCCAAATGTTTTTTTCTGATATGAGGATGCTAATCCATAATAGGGAATGGAGCAGAGCATGGGAGGAATGGAGGAACTTTAGACAGAACAAACTAGAGGGAGGGTAAAGGAGGGAACAGAGGTGTAGAAAAGACACTAGAATGAGATGGATGACATTATCCCTAGTACATGTATGAAGACAAGAATGGTGTGACTCTACTTTGTGAACTACCAGAGACATGAAAAATAGTGCTCTATATGTGTACTATGAATTGAAATATATTCTGCTGTCATATATAACAAATTAGAATAAATAATTTTTTGAAAAGTACAATATTAATAGAAATCATATTTATAACTATAACAGAGGCAAATTTTACTCTTAGGTTCTCAAGATGGCCTGAGAATTAAGTTGACATAAAACAGATTAACAGAAAAAAAACAATATACAAATTTAAAATAAGTTTTAAATGGCACAAGAGCTCTCATAAGGAAATGAAGACTTAAAGAAATGGCAATACCTATCTGTTTTTGTATTAGGTTGAACCAATAAAGGTAATACAGAAAAATAACTAAATTATATGAGGAAGCTAAAGGAAGATAAGAATTATTTTAACAAGATACACATACACACACACATAATGGACATTTTAAGAGGTTTAGTGTCTGTCATACCTGTTTTGAATTTTTTTTACATTATTAACAAAAAATTCAATTTTTGATTAAGGCTGCAAGAATAAGATTCTTGGAGTTACAGGAAGGGACTTTTTGATACTACTGAAACCATATCGGAAAAAAAAAATGAATTGAGACAGTTATTTGGGAAATTTAAAAAAATGCTCAAAGATTGTAAGAGCAAAGATTCAAGTCATGGATAATAAGGGGTGTGTGCTGAGCCTGTGAATCTTCCTGAACCTTTTGTCACTGTTGCCAAGCATGAATAGAACTCAAAACCCAGAAGGAGCAGGTGAGAGGGTCCATAGGTGTTATGATATCTGGTGTATACCCCTGTGAGCAAGGAAGGATAGATTAGAGGGGAGACAGGCAATCAAGTCATTACAGCAGTGTAAGTTCTCCAAGTGGTGATATGACAGGGCCTCTTGGTGAACTAGTACTTTTAGGTACTAAAATCCTACTAGAAAAACTATGAAAATCTCCCAGGAGAATTTGGTAGAATAGAACCAATTCTAGAATTAGTGAAAATACTATATGGTAAAATATTGCATTACATTGGCACTTTAGATGCTGTGTACTTTGTGAATGAAGTGATTTGTGCCTGGAGTGGTTAATGGCTTTCAGCTGCATTGAAAATATTCTCATACAATACAAGATAATCTTGTGGACTTATGAGAATGAATTGACATTTCATTTTATTTCTTGATGAAGTACAGCATTTTCTTCGGATAAATTCTCTAGAACTGTGAGAGTAGCTTTTATTTAAAACCAGCCATTTTCAAATAAAGAAAAAGATCATTAGACTGTGTTGACAGCATCCAAGTAAAGTGCTCTATTCACACATTCTTGAGCAATGTTGCTTAGACTTTAATTGACTGTATTTCCTCGTTTTATAGTACATACTTGTTCATTAAATTTTTGTTAAAACTAAAATAATCTATATTTTATAGCAAAAATAATAATAACAATAGTTTTGTAATTCTTACCTTGGTGATTTTCTTCAATTGTTTCTCACAGTTACCTCTAACAGTTTTAGAACCTGGCAAACCCACATTTTTTTTTTGGTATGACTTTTTATTTGACTGATTTAGACAAAGGCATGCATTTCATGAAAAGGCTAAAACCAATGAAAATGAATATCATTGTAATGAAAATATCTGGGTAAGATAGCTAAGTCTCAGAAGAGAGCCCATTGTCTGGAGCAATTCTCAAACTGGAGAAATATCCTTACAGAAAGAAGAAACAAAGAGTCCCTCAGGATTAACTTCACTTTTGCTTAGATTTTTTTGTGTGTTTAATTATGACATTCAACAAAAATACATGATTTTAAGAAGAAAACATAGAAAGATAAAATAGGAATGAAATAAATACTATCATACCCTCCCCCTAAGAACAGGCACAACCTAAACTTTCATTTCTGCCAAATAAAATTTATCCTCTATCTTAATTATTCTGCTAGTGTAGAAATCATTTTCCACATGATTTCATTTTCACATAGGAGAATGTCAGAAGAATTGTCATTAGATTTCATTGCTATGGCAGATAGTGTTCCTGAGGGCCATTTAGTTATAGGATTAAATGCGGTTCGTTTTATTAGAAGTGTGTATTTACTGACAGTGGGTCAGGAGTCAAGATTTACTGAAATATATGCAGGGTTATTAATTTGCCAATTTTATAAGCTCTCAGAATTTTTTAAAAAGTGGGGTTATAGCCCTTAATATACTTCTAAGAATCAACTAGTGAATATATAACTGGATCTACATAGAAACTGTAAAATATGAGGGGACTAAAGAGAACAATATGCAGTCAAATATACTCTCAGTCAAGGTTTTAGATTGAATGGCCTCCTTTAAATTGCTGTATACTTATACAATATTTGCTGGGTAATTCTTTGCTCTCCACCTACCTTAATAAATAGCAAATTATGTAAATGACTTTATAAGTTTTAAACTATGTTAATAATTATCTTTTGGTTGAGATTCTTGGAGATAGCTTTTTTTAAAAAATTTTTATGTTTTCAAAGCTTGTCGGGTAATTTTTAGAAAGTCTGTTCTCTGTCATTATCTCATTGATATACTAAAATAACTTGGAAGACAAATTTAAGGTCATTTTAATTATGAGTGATTTGGTTGTTTGTTTTCAGTATAATGGAACCTTGCATGTAACCTATAATGAACCATAGTAACTATGCCTTTAGACATTATCTATAGTAAGACCCCTAGAAAACTGTGGTATATTAAAAATTGTCTAACTTGGTAAATCAAGCAAGTTAAAATATAATTTTTTAATACAATGGTCAGAATCAGAGCCATGAGGTATGTTCCACTGATGGGGCACCACAGGCCCATAGCTTTGGCACTAAATAGAAGTGATTCCTGTAATGTCTCCTGTAATATGACTCCTGCTCTACTTCATTCTCTTGTCACTAAGGATTTTTCTGAAAAGAACTCTGAGAACATCATTGTGTTTCTTAAGACATTATTATCAACCTACGACACCTATTATACTCAATGAAGAAATGTTAGATGCCTTCCCTTTTAAATCAAAACAATGCAAGAAAGCCCACTCTTACCTCTACTGTTCAACTTTGTCAATGCTAAAGGTCACTGACAGTGCAGGTTAGGAAAGAGAAATAAAGATGTAGGCTCAGAAGGAACATTCCAAACTTATTTTTCATAAATATTAAATTGTCTATTAAACCCAGAAGAATCTGCACAGATATTGAGACCAAAATGCAAGTTTTACTAGTATAATAGCTCTTATACATGATGTGTGTATGTTCATCATTAACAAATACAAGACATGGACTGGGGATGTGGCTCAAGTGGTAATGTGCTCGCCTGGCATGCATGGGTTCGATCCTCAGCACCACATAAAAATAAAATAAAGATGTTGTGTCCACCGAAAACTGAAAAATAAATATTAAAAAATTCTCTCTCTCTCAAAAAACAAAACAAGACATAATGTTAATGCATTTGTCATTTAAAATAGTAATAACAATAAAAATTCAGGATAGTGGCATCAGTGACTCCATATTACTCACAAATATTAGACTTTCTCTAATATTTATGAGGTCTAAATATTAGAATTTCTCTAATATTTGTGAGGGCAAAATCATGGAGGTCCATATACCACACATCTTAAATATTTAATAGTTATAAATCAAGTTAGCAAACTGTCAAATGTAATGTTTTTTAACTTGATAAATATACCTCCATAAATTGTAATTAACTGATGGTAATATAAAAGATTAAGATGATATCTAATTATATTTAGATAATAGGCAACTTAAATATTTAATTGAAAATGCAAATGAACAAAAAATGTAAAATAGTAAAAGGTAATTTTTTTTTCAAAAAATATTTTTGTTAATTATTAAAGCATGTCTTTTAAAAACAAAAGGCAACATACAAATTACTATTATTAGGTTATAAATTCCATCAAAATTATTTAACTAAAACTGAATTTTAAAGTACATAATGAAATTATTAAACCTTATTTCATATTTTTATAACAGTAAATCTATTCACATGATTGTCAATGTAAAGAGTCAGCATCATTATTCAAGCATCTTAGAGCCTGAGTTAAAAGTGATATGAATTGTATAATATTCATAAAAAGATTTTCATGTGGTCAT